CTAACACATCTCAGTTCTCATCCCCTTCCCTCTATCTCTTGGTCCCCTTCCAGCAGTCCTGTTTTTTAGGCAAGATTCCCACGCTGGGAGGTTTTAAGGATTAGGCAAGATAATGCCATGGCATTTGCACCCTTGTGGTGTTGTTACTGCAAGTGTTCTCCAGATGACCTCACTGACGACTTCAGCCTCTGTGCCGACACGTTAATTCCCCATTAATCTCCCTGGAACATCAATTTCACATCTCTCCCTTACCCAAGCCCTAGCATTGCTCCCTAGGTCCCCCCGAGGTGTCCCGCAAATCCCATTAGCTCCAAGGGGTGGGCTCGTCATGGTAAGAGTCCAGGAGGGCCCAACAAGCCAAAAGTAGAAATCAAGACAGGTCTGTGGCTTAAAACCAGGAAATTCCGTCTCCAGAAGACAAGGCAATCAGTGTGCCAGCGTCAGGGAAGCGGGTACAACAGTGGGCTGAAAATTCACTTGTCAGCAGGGACAGAGGTATAACATCTGCAGTGGGCACGTCCCTAATGAAAGGCAAGTTCCTGACTGCTGTGGTTGCACACATCTGTAATCCCAGCACTCGGGAGGCTGAGGCAGGAGGATCACCAACTTGGGGAGGCCAACCTGGGCTAAATAGTGAGTTGGAGGCTAGCCTGAACTATATAGTGAGACCCTGACTCAAAAAACAAAAAATAAAGCTGAGCATGGTGGCGCACATCCGTAATCCCAGCACTTGGGAGGCTGAGGCAGGAGGACCGCTGTGAGTTCGAGACCAGCCTGGGCTACATTACATTGTAAGTTCCAGGTCAGTCTCAACTACATAGTGAGAGCCTGTCTCAAAAAAACCAAAACATAAATAAAAATAAAACAAAGCTTTGTTCAATATACATTACATTGTAAGTTCCAGTTCAGTCTCAACTACATAGTGAGAGCCTGTCTCAAAAAAACCAAAACATAAATAAAAATAAAACAAAGCTTTGTTCAATGTTAAAAGAAAAAAATTTCTTAGAATGTTATTCAAAATACTTCATTATCAACAGACTCACAAGAGGGATGCTAACAGGGAAAAATACAAGGCACCACGCAAATGCCTGAGGGAATGCCTGCAAAATAACAGATTAATCCTGTCTCACCAGTAGCATCTTTGTTCCTAGGATGCAGAAGAAAGGATTATAAGGGACAGGCAGCTGGGCTTGGGGGAGGAAGTACACTCATGGGGGAAAGGATCTGCCAGAACATTAGGCCCACACCTGCTTTGGCAGTGAGGAAACTGACAGGATCCTCAGGGAAACCTGGCAGCTTCAGAGTAGTGACTGAACTTGGATTAGAATCACCATGACCCAGATTCAAACATGGCTTCTATTCCCACTCAACCCCTGAACCCCGCTAACGCACATACACATAGAATGCCAAAGTTGAGCAGCAAAAATATTTCCATGAATCCCGTGTCTGTAGATTGTGTAGGGCCTCGTCTATTTGTGGAGTTAAAGGTGAAGAGGTAGCACTGCAAAGGATGAGCGGAGGACCAGCGAGACCTCAAGAAAGCCTGGACTGAATCTGGCAACACAGGCACACGTGTGTTCAGTACCACTGCACACGGGTTACCGCCGAACACGGACTGCGCTCTTAGGGTCACAGTGCTGCTGGCACGAGGATTCACAGGGAGCACAGGGGAAAATGGCAGCAAGCACAGCAGGGCCTCGAAAAGGAAGGCCAGGGACATAACGTGCCAAAGATAGGACACAATCTCTAGGTGTTAAGGAAACGAGAGATGTCTCTGGGATTTCCGGATGAGATAGAGGAAGGCAAGGAGAAAACAAAGCAAACTAATTTTTTAATCCGACAATTAGCAAAACAAAGGATATAAGGAAATGTAGTCGTAGTTCACTGTGTGCCTCATGTGAATAATTGCTGATGGTTCAGTCAGCAGCTACACTGGAAAAATGGGAAGGAGTTGGCTTAAGAGCCGGAGCCACATTTTCCATATAAACTCAACTGAAAATGAAAAAAAAAATCTAGGAATATTGTAGGTATGCTACTTAGAAGTAAAGGAGTACAAGCGGGGCAAGGTGATGCACATCTATAATCCCAGCACTTCGAAGACTGAGGCAGGAGAATCACTGAGTTCAAGGCCAGCCTGAATTATATAGCAAGACCTTGTCTTTAAAAAAAGAAAAAGAGTAAATGCCAGAAGAAACTGCTAGAAAAACCCATTCCCTTCAAGGACCATAGAAAGTTAGGGGGTTTGTGTGCTTTTTTTTCTACCCATTTTATTATATTTTTTTAAGTATATGGGTAGCTGGGCGTGATGGCGCACACCTGTAATCCCAGTACTGGGGAGGCTGAGGCAGGAGGATCACTGTGAGTTTGAGACCAGCCTGGGCTACATAGTGAGTTCCAGGTCAGTCTCAACTACATAGTGAGAAGTGAGACCCTGTCTCAAACCCCCCCACAAAAAGAAAAGAAATTAATGTCACTGGATTGGGTCCAGAGAGGTTTCCTAATGTGGAGATGGGGAATGTATCCTTTACATTATATCATGGTTCTTATTTTTGCATTTTTTTTTTTTTTTTTTGTACCAGAAATCAAAGACTCAGGACCTCATGCTTGCAAGGCAGATACAGTTCACTGAGCTAAATCCCAGGCCCATTTTTGTGGCTTTTTGTTAGTGGTGTGGAAATCAAACCCAAGGCTTTGCATGCACTGGCTGTTCTACCCAAGTTATAGACCTAGCTGTTTGGTGGTTTTTTGTTTTGTTTTGTTTCTTAAATTAAACCTTGAAGTACTGATTTCTCAAACCACTTTTATTGGACTTATTTTTTGGACCTCCCCCCATGGAAGCTTAGGTAACTTACATCCTCGTCTCCTAGGTTTGGGAACACAGGGACACTTAAGTAGAATGGCTGGCCAAGGAAACAGTCTTGGGGACACTAAGAAAGGGAGCCCTGCACTGTCTCATGGCACCTTGTACAAAAGCTCCAGAAGCAGGAGGTAGCAGACAGTAACACTGAGGACAGATACCAGCTGCACCAGGGGTACCATATGGGGGCTGCCAGTAGGACCAACCACTGAGGAATATGCACATGGCTCCAGGAAAGACCACTGGCAAGGGGACATCTCCCTTGGCAGAGGAGCCAACGCAGCCACAACTGTACCAGTTAGAAACTTCCTGCCAGCCAAGCACAGCAGCACATGCCTGAATCCCAGCTACTTGGGAGGCTGAGTCAGGAGGATCACTCACCATGTTGAAGGCCAGCCTGGCAACTGAGTGAGATATCTTAAAACAAAAAATAAAAGGGGAGGCTGGGGGTATAGCTCAGTGGTAGAGCATCCCAGTTCAATCTACAGTACCGCTCCCCCAAAAGCTTTTGCCCCTTTGCTCTCCTCTGAACCCAATGGAAGATGCAGCAAATTAAGGGAATAGGAACAGAGTGGGGACTGAAAAAGGAACCAGCAACTCCTTGGCAGTGAGTCTGGAATTTTGTTATTTCAATGACTAAGACCAGTTTAGCTCAGTGAACTTGGGTGACATGTCTGCAGAGGATCCTCACTGTGACAGAGGCACTGTGAAGTGAAAACTCTTTTTACAAAAAATAAAAAGAAAACAGTAACAGGGCCGGGGATTTAGCTCAGGTGGCACCACGTCTGCCTAGCAAGTGTAAGGTCCTAAGTTTGATCCCCAGTACCAAAAATAAACAAACAACAACAGAGTATTCAAGCATTTTATTATATCAGACAAGGAATCCCCATATTGCCACACATACGGGCTGTGGACATTAATCAGGGAACAGCTCTTGTTTACAGGAGGGCAATGAGTCTACAATGTCCAGAGCAATCACAAAGCAAACAGCAAGTACTAGGACAGTCAATCATGACAGAGGTCACAGTTCAGCCTTCACCTTGAAAACAAAGCATCTTAACTAGGAAAAAAAAAAATCTCTGAAGACTAACGGGCTGTCACTAGTCAGACACAAATCTCCTTCAGGAACACAGAACTTCTTACAACTGACACGTTTGCTTGGAAATAAGTCAGCCTTAATCATAGAAAAGGGTTGGTTTTTAGAGACTTATTACAGTAAAGTATATGACCTTGTTTCACATTGTGCCTTGAAAATCGCTGAGCTTTTTTTCATTTAGCAACACTGAACATCGGCCCAATACCCAATACAAAACATTGTGAAGATCAGAGACTGAATAGCGACACAATTCAGTGGGGCTGCAAAGTAATCTCAGTCTACGTAACTTAGGTAAGTGACACAACTTTAAAACGAACTGACTTTCCCTCTGGGTGGCAGTTGAGAACTTTCCTAGACAAACAGCTGCTCAGCTGCTCATTAGGCTTACTACAGTGATGGAGTAGAGGATAAAGCCTCTGCTCATGGAGCCTCAAACTGACTTGAGCTGATCTACAGAACCCCTGCACACAGAATGGGAGGGAGGCAGGACCAAAGACCCTTCTGCAGACTCCACCTCCCCAGCCTTCACCCCCACACCCCAAACCTATACAAGTTCCCCTGCTTTAAGCCAAAAGCTCAACCCTAGATTCAAACTTCCTGAACTAAGTTTACAGGTAACATGCAAATGAGGGGACAGAGTTAAATCCATTCACCAACAGCAAACATAACAAATGTATGCTACTATCCCACTACACAGAAGACTTGGAGAAATCACAAACGTAACAAAATACCTGTATTAAGCTTAAAAAAAAAAAAAAAAAAAAAAAAAAAAAAC